GCGCTGGCGCCGGGGCTGTCAAGGAAGCTGAAGAAAGTTCTGGAAACTCGCACCGATAATCCAGATCTGTTGGCTTCTCTCAATACACTCTCCACTTTCTATACCGATAACACTGCTCCGGCTCGCCGTAACCTCCGATCAACTATCGAGAAGCGTTCTCTGTCTATAAATCACGACTTCCTCCTTGCTTCCGATGCCGCCCAGCAGGTTCGCATACTTCATTCTCATTCTCCATCGATCATTGAATCACTTGATCAACATAACGAGTTAGTTATTTTATTTTTACGGTTTTAGGCTTTGGATCGGGTGGAGGAAGAGGTTAATTCTCTAGCCGAATGCTGTGACAAGTGAGCTACTATACCCATAATAGGCGTGCCATGTCAAAATAAAATGCTGCGAGTAATTTTACAGGATTGCAATTTGGTACTCATCTTTTTTTATGAGCTAACGTTTGTTTGCTTGATTGCTTTATGGAATTACCCACACTTGAAATATGACATATGAGCATTTTATATGACTCCTTGTTATCCAAACATCAGTCAACTGACTCCACTAATATTGCTTTGTTACAAAGTTATTGACACATGCAGATAATGAGTTAGGCCTCTGACCACCAACAGTATATTGTTAATCCGTTTGTCTTTGACTTTTTGATATTGTTCTAAATGTTGGACCCAAGATAACCAAAGCCAAATAATGCCTTAAAAGCCAAATAATGCCTTAAAAGAACTCGTGCCATAACGTGCCTTAAGATGCTCTGGCTTGCACCTTGCCTTACACATCCACTACATTGGTTGGGAAATGTAACATTTGCAATTGTTGATAATGAAAACCATGTGGAACCTGTGATTCATGAAGGTAAAATAACCTTCACAAAGTCCAGCTTAGTAATCGCTTCTATCATGGAATATGTTTATTTTGGCTTTCTATCATTGCCAATTTGCTTCTTAATGTGATCCTAATAATCTATTGTATGTATTAGTGTGTTCTTGATGCTCTTTTCCCCTCGGTGCTTGGTGGGACATGTGCCATTCCTTGTGCATTCGGCTGTGGGAAAAATGTTATTAGCCAAGCTCTATCCAAGGTATCTTTGATGTATAGCGGGTTGTCACTCATTTAAAATTTTGAATAGTTAGATGCTGATATTGTTTCCATATTAACTATTTTCCTGTCATCATGCAGTATTCAAATTCGAACACTGTCGTTTATGTTGGTTGTGGAGAGAGAGGAAATGAAATGGCAGAAGTACATCCCACTGAATATAATTCTTTTTGTTTCAGTTGTTGATGAATGCTTATTTTTGATGTTCTATAATAACTTGGCAGGTTCTCATGGAATTTCCCCAATTGACTATGACATTGCCTGACGGTCGTGAAGAATCTGTCATGAAACGTACTACACTTGTCGCTAACACTTCAAACATGCCTGTGGCCGCTCGTGAGGCTTCAATCTATACAGGTAACAGTGTAGTTTTTCTTGTCCAAAAGATGTTCTATGGAAAGCAAGYTGGACCAAAAACATGAAAGCTCTTGTTTTTGTTGTGTCAACTATTTCCATGAGACATATCTTTACATGGATGTATCCTCTTTTTAGTTGTATACATATAACAGTGGAGTTGTTTCTTTCTAATGATGATGTTTTGATCTTTAAATTCCATTTGTTAGTATATATAATTCTTAATATTAGATGTCTTTCGTCCTTTATTTAATTTAAACCATCAATAGTATGTTTTTAACCTTTATCTAGGTATAGATGTCTTTCGTCCTTTATTTAATTCCATTTGTTTTTAACCTTTAATACAGCAAGTTTTCATATTCTTTTAGCCGTTTTGACCGTCGTACGCCCCAAGGCCCAAGACATCGATTCAATCTCCATGGTGAGATTCATCGTTCAAAACCATAATGTGTTGCCTTCATCTCAATGGAAGTCAAAACTCAAAATAGCAAAAAGGTGAGAAAGTCAAAATGCCTGAATGGTCTTGAMTGAAGGTTTGTTGATCTTCTTTAGCTTAGCTCTGACTCTCCTTAGCTTCTTCAACTCTTCCATTGGGCTGAATCTTGTTTGATTTATTGGCACAGAATCAGCAAGAAGGATAGCAKAATACAAACAAATGTGAAAATGATTGGAGATTTGGGAGCCATATTCACAWTGGTATTTTAGAAACAATATTTGGGTTTGGTTGTATGCTGCTGAGYTAACATGGTCTCTATATCTATATGTATGCAGGATTCTGAGGCTTGTCTCTTTGCTACTCACTTAGATGTGATCAAGAAGAGAACAAACAACAAGAARAAACAATTGGTTTGGTTTATTCCAATTTTTTATAAATTGTGGAAGAGACGGGTCATTGAAGGAAGCTGTGGTAATTCGGTTTTCTATTGAAAATAAGGGTAATATAGTCAATTGATATTTAATCTCATGTTGTTCCACCTTTTTTGGTGGAACAAAAACCATCAAGTTTTGTTCCGTGAAATTTAAAAATAGTTTCATCTTGTCCCATGTATTTTTTGTCTATGGCATACTAAACATGAGACTAATTTTTTTTTTTACCGTCTTGTCCCATGTAATCTGAATACCAAAGGCATCCTTAATGAACTTTTTACATCACGCCGCAATGCGCGGGTAGACAACTAGTATGCTTATTATGGGGTTTATGGTTTAAGAGTCCACTCTTTAGTGGTTTTAGGAAATCATGCATTCTGACAGAATCTTTGTGACTAAAAAATGTCCATGATTCACCCTCATCCAAGAAGTATATTTTCCAGAATTTTTTATATGTTTTAGTATACCGAGTTAGGATCATTATGACCAAAAATCAAGATTTTTGGATCAGTGGAAAGATCTCAAACAAATTTTACCAAAACAGTGATTACAACTTTCAAAACAGAAAACCCCTTCTTAATGTTACACCATTTTGAAAGAGTTATACTTATAATTTTCCAATGGTTCGTGAATAGTTTTAAAGCTAACACATAAGGCTAGATTTTACAAAAAGAATCACTATATTTGGATGTATAGTTTGGGAGTAATGGTTGTTTGAACATGCATGTGGAAATCTGTCAAGTCTGGACAGATTGCACACTTATTTTGTAAAAATCGGTTGAACCCCTAAATCACTATGTTTTTGGGTGGGGTTAGACTCTTTTGAAAGCTAACACTTTAATATATACTCCAGACGTAAAATTTTATGAGTTTTGATGTGTCTTCTAAGAGTTATAGATGAACAATGAGACACAAAATTTCTGACCGACCACTGTTGCACACCAAATTTGTTTTGGGTGTTGTGAGGTAAGGTCATATTTTCTCATGATTCCACTTGGGTTTAAAAACTAATGCACTAAATATTATTGAGGAAAAATATTCATGCTTATTAGGTCAATACACAACCAGATATGGTCGTTCCAAACTCATGCAATGAATCTGTCCAGAAGAAAATTCATTCTTTTATGCAAAAATGGATTTTTATGCATCACAATTTCCAAAAATGATGATTTTATGGAAGAACATCAATCTACTATTCAATATTAAAGTAAGATTATTTAAATTACACTATTCTTGGTAACAAAAATGAAAGAAAACTCAGATTTCATAAGAGACACAAAAATGCAAGAAATGAAGGGTTTTTCTTGCTTTTCAAAAGTTCTAGATGGTTAGGTCACGGATTTTCACCATATTAAGAACATTTTTCATGTCTTTGGTGTAAAATCTACCCTTAGAACTTAGAATGAATAACACCTCTCCTTTGCAAACTTAAAAGTATGACAATAACAAGAAAATGGCACTAAAAGTGTATAAATGAAGCCAAAACACTAACAAGTTCTTACCTTTGATTAAAAAAAGATGATTTCTTCAAGTTTTATTTCTTGAATCCCTTTTCTTTTCTATGAAAGGCTGAATTTTTCTTCAAGAAGAAGATGGAGGGAGAGAGTAGTAGGTGAAAAGTGAGGGAGAGTAAGGAGGTGAAAGGTTGAGAGATAAATGAGAAATGAATGTTTTGAATTTTCAAAATGTATTTATATGTAGGGGGTACCATGTGGTGGGTACTTTTGTATTTATTTCTTGAATCCCTTCTATTTTTTTTTTTTTTGTAAAAACTTAGCACATATCTTAATAAGTTGGGTACTTTTGTGAGATATTGAGAAAATGGCCCAAATTCCTATTTTATGAGATAAATAAATTGCTTAAAAATAATTTTAAGTAAAAATATTTAAAATATGTAGATTCTATATTTTATGCAAGTTTTAAAAATTATTTGGAGTGTTTGGCATTTTATAAGACGATCCGGTTCATTACGGGTCGAAACAATGTTTTCTATGCAACCTACCGGGATTTCTAACTACTTAAGCTCTAATCGCTCTACTTGAGTGTTAATAATATTTCTAAAGTGCTATCTAGCTACTAACCTGGTATTTAAATTTTCGGATGTCACATATGTGAATCAATGTTACAGGGTAATAATGTGTGAGCGGCTTCAAATAATTTTCTTCTAGATTTTTTTAGTAATTTATACATGAACATTCCCTTTAACTTTCTCTTCTTACCATCTTAGGATATTTAGTCTTCTTATTTGAACCCCCCTCCCCCGTCTCTCTCTCTCTCTCTCTCTCTCTCTCTCTCTATATATATATATATATATAGGAGCGTTCAAATGAAAACCGCCTCCATTTGTGTAAACCGTGTAAACCAATCTCATCCATCTATTTTCTTGATCAATAGTCAAGATTAGTTTACTTTATTTTAGGAAATTAAAAGAAAAATATATTAAAAATATATTTTTATATCAGCAATAAGGAGAAAATGGTAAACAAATATACATATTCTGTAACATCCTATTGAAGGACATTATTCTTTATTTTAGGAAATTAAAAATTTCTATTTGGTAGGAAATAATTTCGCTAATGCAACAACCTTTTTATTCCTTATCCTGAAATTGTTTCAATGTCCTTCATACACCCATGTAAATATGCACCCTATTCATTATGAAATTATTTCAAGACACACCGGTTTCATCATGAATCCATTTCAGCATGTAATTATTTCATGACAAACCGTATACATTATGCACCCRTTTCATTTTGCATTTCACCTACTAAATGGATCAAATACACCATCACTGAAATGAGGTTCACCATTAAACCAGTTCACTACTCATTGTTAAATTACGCCATGAACTAGTTTCACCTTCATGAAACTTGTTTCATGTACATAGATTAGTTTATTCGCTCCTGATTTGATGAATTCATTCCTTTAATCCTTACAATCTTAAAGATTCTGTAGCAGATTACAATCTTCAAGATTATGGAGCAGATTCATCATGTACCCGTTTCATCATGCAATTATTTCATGACGAACCAAATACATTATGCACCCATTTCACTACTCTTGGTTCAATTACACCATGAACCAGTTTCATCTTCATGAAACCTATTTCATGTACATTAATTTTCTTATTTCATCCGTGATTTGATGAATTCATTCATTTAAGCCTTACAATCTTCAAGATTCTGAGCAGATTACAATCTTCAAGATTTTGTAACAGATTCATCATGTACCCGTTTCATCATGCAATTATTTCATGATGAACCAAATACATTATGCACCGTTTCATTTTCCACTTCACCTATTAAATGGATCAACTACACCATCAATGAAACGGGTTCACCATGAAAATGTTTCACTACTCATTGTTCAATTATGACATGAACCAATTTCACTTTCATGAAACATGTTTCATTTGTATTAACTTCTTTTTTCAATCATGATTTGATGAATTCATTACATTATGCCTTACAATCTTCAAGATTCACCAGTAGATTCAATCGCATCACAATATATTTAGTTCATATTTTTAAAATTATAATATAATTAAATATTTAAATCTTACCATTTATAAAATTTCTTTTATTACATTTCTTTAATTAAGATTTATTAATAATTTTCATATTTAATTGAAAATATTGTAAATGACCGAAATACCCTTATTGATTAAATTTAATTAGAAAAAAAAATAGAATTTTCCTATTGGTCGAAATTAGTTTACACGAATTTTTAGAAATGCACGGTTTTCATTTGAACGTACCCATATATATATATATATATATATATATATATATATAGAGAGAGAGAGAGAGAGAGAGAGAGAGCCTGGTTCAAATATTAACCAAGTTTATTGTGTTAACTTTGTTAACCATTTTCAACCAATAATAATTCATCTTATATATAGGTTCATATTCATCTTATAATTTAATGACAAGGGTAAATATGTAATTTTCTTTTTTATGTAACTCCCATATCATTAAATGGGAGTTACAAAATCAAAAAATCCCATGATTTTTGTTAATTTATTATTGATCTTGTTTTTTTATAATATTGATTTTTCTATCTATAATGTTACTGAATTTGTGGTTGGTAGAAGAGACACGGTATTAAAGTTTTCGGTATCGTTCAAGCTATTATGGATAAACTCATTGTTCATAATGTATGAACTATTGTTCACAAACTGTTCATATGTACAGTAGCTGCATATTTCCACATTGGCTCGCTCCTGATTGTGTTCATAATAAACGAACTATTGTTCACAAGTGTTCATATTGTGTTCATATGTACACTAGCTGCATATCTCAACATTAGCTCGCTCCTGAATGTGTTCATAATGAAGGAACTATTGTTCACAACCTGTTCATATTGTATTCATATATGTTTTTTTTTATTTATTTTCTTTTGTGTAGCAGTTATTCTTATTATGTTCATATTGTGTTCATAAACGCTATGCAGTCCAAGTTCATATATATGTCAATTTTTGTTCGTATTTGACACAATGATTCATATATATATATATGTGTTTATATGGTTTTTACTTTAACAAAAATCATGGGAATTTTTTTATTTTGTAACTCCCAATTAATGATATGTGATTTACATTAAAAAATTTACATAAATACCTTTTTCTACTTAGTTTACATATGTTTGTGAAATTATAAATTTAAAAAATTAAAATTTTAATATAGTAAATTACAACCGTTTATTGTAAGAATCAATGACCAAAATTGGTTAACAAAGTTAAA